ATGCATAATTCTGACAAAATGTGAATGAAACACACACACACAACACCTCACTCCTGTAGCTACTCGTTTACACTGCAGTGTCACAGTTGCTGTGTTGAGCTGATGGAGGCCTTCCCTGCTTAGAAAACTGCTTCAGCAGCAATCTTCCTATAGCATTATTTGTTGCTGCAAGGAATAAATCCATCCTCTCTCCTTATTTCCACAACCTTCACTGACTGTTTCCATCTTGATGTGGGTAAAGAGGAGAGCAATTTCATTGGTTTTTGTACAGCACTGCTCAGTGGGAGGCTTCTGGATGGTAATTGGTTTCTGTCTGAGTGGAAACCAAGAGGTGTTAGAAATCTGTAGTGTGTCATGAGCCTAATCATGTAACACTATTTCAGACACCCACGTACCTCTGGGAGACCCACACATAGGCGAACAGAACAAAAGCTTGGCTTTCATTTACTATAGAAAGTTTAAAAGAAAAATTGTCTGCAAGAGGGAGAAACCGTAACATGAGAGCACCAAAGGTCCACCCAATCTTGTTTTCTTCAGTAGCCAATCAGGTGCTTTTGGCCATCCCACCAACAGGGCATGAAAACAATAGCACTGCTCCACTGCTTGACCTCGCACAAGCAGCCAGCATATGCTGCCGTTGCTGCCTCTGAAAACAGAGATCTTACTTATCCGTACTGTTGGTAGCCATTACTGGGCTGAACCTCAATAAGCATGTGTTCCTTTTTAAAGCCATCGGTCACCACACTTCTCATGATGGCTGTATCTGCTGTCCCTGGTGGCTCATCCAGTCAGAATGGACTTGCAACAGTCTCCAGTTTGATCCTTAGTTGTGGCTAGCCACAGCTTTGGTCATTCACTCCATCCCCAGCACAAGGCTCTGCCTGTTTTGTTTCCAGTTTTCACCTTCTGGCTCCTACTTAGCTTCTTCCTTCTCAAACACTCCTTCCTACTCTCTCCCTTTCCCTTATTTGGAGCCTGGCGACACAGAGTCTTCCAGATTTTGTAGCGTGCTGATATGATATGTGCTTCTTAAAATTTTTGATGTGTTTTAAATGAGTTGTGTTTCAGTTAATCTTTTCTCTAGTATGTTGGAATCATGGTTGTTGTCATTATAAACTACTCTGAGCACAACATTTTGTGGAAAATGCAGAATACAGATAAATTAACTGTGACTTCTATTGTGTACAGCTCCCATCTGTCATAGCCACATAGCCAGTGGTGAGAGATGCTGAAAGCTGTTCATAAAAATAGCTGGAGAGTCATAAGTTGCCTACTTCCGCCATTATATGCTGTATCCATTGACATCCCTGCTCACTTTCAGGTTTGGGACCTTCCTTAGTCCCTTCATCAGCCTCTTTGGACCGTATTGGGCCCACCATAGTCCCTTCTTCCTTGATATGGTGCATTTTCCTCCCAGGTTATGCTCTGCCTTTTGGGCCCACTTCTGTCAGACCCTTGACTTGCAACCCACAGTCCCTTTCTTGCTGTGGCCTCTTTGGATGTTATTGTAGTTTATTTCTATAAAATGAAGTTTTCATCAAAGTGCAATGCTCTTTTTTAATTCATTTAAATGTACTTTATCTTACTGTTATATAACTAGTAATAAACCTTGGATTGTTGCAAAAGAAATTACTAGGATGGTCAGGGAGGAATTAAAAATAACCATCTAGCTCAGGAAGTCTTCTTGTGATTTGTTTTGAGGGGGTGAACTGCTGTGAAACCTATTTGCATGGCCTTATGATGGCACTGACTATGTCTTTATGGGGCAGGTTGGAACCATAGTTTCTAAATATATACAATCATAAAGTCAGAAGGTCTCTTGGAAGTCATTTACTCCAAGCCCCTGCCCAATGCAGGCAACTTACAACTACAGCATCTCTGAGAGATGGCCTTGCAGGTTCAGGTACCTCCAACAGAGGATAACCCACCATCTCCCAGAAGAGACTGCTCCATTCTCAAGCAGCTCTTATTACTAGATAGTTGCTCCTAATGTTTAGATCTGTTTTCCTACAGTTTCTGCCTATTGGTTATGTTCATTTCTGCTCCATCATTTGCATGACAGTCTTCAGTCTTCTTTTCCTTCCAATCTTTCTAGTGACCCAATCTTTTATTTGTCTTGATCAGGGGAAGTACTGAAGCCAATTTAAAATATTTCTCTTCTTAGAATCCTGTACTGGGCACCCTTTGTGTAGAATAATTAACATCTACAATCCCTGTTTTCTCAACAGCAATCAAGACCAGGTCTCTCAGGACACCATACCAACTGTTAAGTTGCACTGGTTTTATTTCAGTAGAACCTCTATCATGGCATGAATAATTATTTCAGAGGAGAAGTGGTCATAAAAAACGAAGCACCTTAGCTGAGTGTGTTTTGTATTTGAAAGTCACAGCTCTGATTGGAAAATCAAAAGCATGTCTTACTGTGATCTATTCTGTAGAAGATGGCAAGTTATATTTTATCTTTAAAATGTGTGTTTTCAAACAGACAGTTACAAAACTGTTGTTTTTACTTGCTTCATAAATGCTCTGTCAGGAGACTACCTGTGATGGCTCTGGACCATGGAAATAGATTTCACGCCCAGGCTCAACAAGAACAGCGAGTAGTTGATAAAGAACACTTGCTGATGGCTGTTTAATTTCTGCTGGATTTTATTGAGGGTGGAGGACTGTAACTGTTCTAAGCCACAGTGTACACCGCAAATGCAGTTTCTTTGCTGATCTTGTTGACAGTCTTAAGTAGTAGGAGAGGTGCTTTCTCCTTCAGTCTACTAGGATGGAATTATCTAGAATGCAGCAATCCAGCCTCCTTCATTTAATTAGTAGTAGCAACAATAGTGGAATTGGGCTTTAATGGCTAGGTGGACACAAACTCATGAGACCTAATTGTGTAATTCTATCACAATTAGATTTTTTTCATGCAGGTAGTACCAGTTGAAAAGGTTCTCCATTCATTTCATGTGTAAACAAGTATTGTTCAGCTAGACACCTTAGTAAAAGCCAAAAATTGTTTTGGAATTATATACTTGCCCTGTAAAGTTTTTACTCTTTCCAGAGTTCTTATGTAAGTTTTAAATAGTCTGTTGTCATTTAAGCAAACACCTTATATCATGCTTCACCATGATTCTGTGGTTCTTTAATCAGTAACAGATGAGAGCCTTTTTCAAGAGAAAAATATAAGTAGCTTAAACATATTGAGGGAGACAATCTGTTTTCTAGTGGAGCACCTACCTATTGGAGCATTTTTGTCAGTTGTGCCTGGTGCGTTGGTGATAGTGGAGATTAAATCATAACAATTTGCTCTTTGAAGGAGCCAGTTCTGTGTTACAGTACATGATGTTTCAACATGGTATAGAATTACAGAGTGAGGCTACTAGGCTCTAATATCTTTCTTTTCTCCCATCTCTCACAACAGTCTTTAGAATATGTATAGGTGACTATAATTACAATCTGAATGGATTTGTGCTACCAGTTCACCAGCTGTATGTGGCATAGCACAGCAAGCTTGTGTCATTTGAAAGGCATAGATTCCACCTAATGAAAAGTCTCTTTGTAGCAAAATGGAATGTCCGCATGATCAGATATCACAAGGAAGTATCTTATCCAGAGCCGGACTGTTGATCTGTCTAGCTCAGTTTTGTCCTTTCCATGTGGGTTGACTTTCGTAAGACTTCAGGCCAAAGTCTTTCCCAGCCCTGCCAATTGGGATTCTTCAGCTGGAGATACTGGGGGTTGCCCCTGGGACCTTATGCTTTAGAGTGTGTAAAACATAAATAGTGAGGTAGGTGCCCTGCTCAGATACTACAGTAGAGGTGAGTGCCATCAGAAAAAGGCAGTTTTGTGAAGCTCCTGGCCTTGTGATTTGTAATGAGCTTCCAAAACAGCCTTTCTGTTCCTTTGGCCTTGCTGGTGTTTCTAAGCCCAATGTTGAAGTAAGTAATGAAGCACTGTGTTTCTAAGCTTTGGCAGTTCTGCAGAAAGAAACCCAAGATTTCCACATGTTATCTCCTACCATGAATTATAGCTTCTGTATTTACACTTCCCTGCCACATGCTTTATTGTGCCATTTATTAGGAACAAATTATGCAAAAATCATGTTCTTTGCATTTAAACAGAACAAAGCCATGGAGACAAGTGTTAAAATGGTGCAGTGCTTGGCATATGTTTGTGGGTTCAAATATATCTGCTATGACAAGCCATTTATAGAAGCTTCATAAATTGACATTGCTCCTTAAGATGACAAGATGTTTAGTATTTTCCCTAGAAGAGCTTGCAGTCTGAAGGAAACAAGACAAAAGGCATGCACCTTATTAAGGAGTCATTGAAATATAGGTTTCAACTATGTGTTGATAAATGTTTATGATATATCGGTCATAGGCTAAAATATGCATCTTTAAACTGTTATTCCCAGTATGAGGATTTCAGTACAGATTTCATTTTTGTTAGCAATTTGTGTACATACCTACACTGAAGAAGTGCATTCCAGCTTACTTTCCAAACCATTTGCTCTTCCATGCAATTTGTCAAGGAAAAATGTGATTTCCATTACATTTCACCTGAATATCTCCTCTGTGAGGAAATTCTATAGGGCTGTATCCAATCCTAACTTCCTGAGTACAAACTAATGGCAGAATGATTTTCCCTTCTCCCCACAGCCCTCTGATCACCCATCCTTCAAAGTGGATTTAGGGGCATGGGGGCTGCAGAGGAAGGGAAGTCAGGGGAAGTCCTATTATACAAGTAGAAATCTTCTCACACAACTTTGATTTTTATGTTCCTTTATTGATTTTGTATGGTTAAAAAGAATAATCTAGCTTTTCGTCCACTGATAGCCTGGGACCAAATAACTGATGAGGTTTATCTCAAAAGGTGACCAAGTATATCAGAATGCAGTGTTTTCATCTGCCCTATATTCTGGCTGAAATAGGCAAAGAAGTGAAGTTTAAAAATGTCTTTCTTTCCCATCATCCTGATGTATTAATTTGTTTGTAATTTTCTGGTAGATTCCAGAAGAACATGATTTGGAGAGCCAGGTCCGCAAAGAGAGGGAGTGGCGGTTTCTACGCAATGCTCGAGTACGAAAGCAAGCACAGAAAATCATCCAGAAAGGTGACTAGCATCCATAATGCCATGAGCTATGAGCAAGAACACTGTCCAGTGGCTGTCAGGCTAGTGCTGACCTCTTCAGTGGCTTCTGATTGCAGCAGCAATTTGTTGTGCTGGGATAGCTCAGAATAGCATGCTTTGGGTTTTCAGCTTTTTTCTTCTTATGTGAAGCACATGGAAGTAAAAGGCTTATGGTTCAATGACTTAGCCTCTAGCCATGGGTATAAAAAGTTAAGTCCGGTCCCCCAAGGTTTCAGATGGACACAATGCAATTTGTTCTATTAGCAGGCATACATAGTACACAGTGTGTACTATTCAGTGTGTACTATCTATGAATTAGATCTATACATGCTCATAATCATATGTGGACTGGAATACAGAGGAAAAGTCAAAACATCTCTGTAGTCATTCTGTCTGCCATTGGTCATGATAAACTCCCAGGGCCTTGCATGCAATACAGTGACATACAAACTAGGAGCAGTATCCAAGAGGCCACTCCACTGGTCCATTGCACTCACAGGACACAACGCAAATGCCATGTTGCTTTTGTGCTTCTAAAAGTAAACTGAGAGATGAGTACAAATGCTTATTTCTGGATCAGAACTGGTCAGTGGAACACCCTTCTGTTCTGGAAATTAGCATTTTTTGTCATTTCAGGTTGCAGTTACAATTATGAAAGCCCCATTGCTCAGGCAATGGGTTCCTTGAGTGCAGTGGTACAATAAGGTACTATCCTAAGCTTTCTTTTCATCTTGCATCTAAGTACCAAAATTGGAATGTACATATGATTTTTAAATAGTTCTGTTTGTTTTACTAAGTTATGCATTTTAAGAAATCTTCCAGAGGAAAGGGCATTCTTGTCTTAGTATGAAATTGACCTACGGCATGAAAGGTTATGCTAGAAGATCATGATAAGACACTTGACACTTCTGAACACAGACTATGAAGAATGATGTCTTCACAGCTTGATCAAGAAGATACCAAATTTAGTTCTTCTTGAGAATCCTCTTACAAGCATTCTTTTCCTTCTTGTATGTAGGATGGAACCCCTTCCACTGGCCAGCATCTTTTAATTATATTAATTTTAATTTATTTATGTGTGGATTTTAGAGTTACCAGAGAAGGTCATACATAACAATTGCACTGTAGGTTGAAAAACCCTTCTATTATGCTGCTTTCACAGCATAGACCATTCCTGTATCTTCAGCTAATTAGTGGCATCACAGGAAATCCCAACCACTGAAGTCGTAGCACACTAGCATCCAATCCTTGTTGTTTCCAGAGAAGTGACCCATAGACACTTGTAGCCATTCAAGACAGACAAAATTAACTTCTTTAATCTTACCAGAGGTAAGGAAAAAGAAAAGAATTGGAGGGGCGGCTTTGGCGAGAACTCCAAGCTGGCATTCAGCAGCTGAAGTGAGTTTTTTCCATTTTAGCAATTGGTCATGATAGTGTTCTAAATGCCTTGAACCTGAACACAAATACTTGAGATTTTGGGCAGCCATGCCAATTGGAGATGACATGCCTGCCTAAGAGGGAAAACATCCAGCACAAAATGAATTGCTCCAAGGCATTCTGGCCTTTCTTCTCTCTCCTGTAAAGTTTGAATGGATGTTGCAGCTTAGTTTCAAGAAAAAATACTCAGGCAAAATGCCAGCATTGCTTCCTTATCCAAGGGGCAGATTCAGAATTTGATACATGTCCAGTGCTGCTGGGGTTGTCAGCCTTGGCAAATTGGCTTGTTCTGCAAGTGTCTGCTTGCTTTCCTTTAAATTCACAAGACACCTAAAGGATCCCAGTTTCTTTTAACTTTATGAAGCCCCCGGATGATTATTTATTTATTGATACCTTTTCATATTTCTGCAATGTTTCTTATGTGGCCTCTTTTACACTTAATAGCTTCTCCTGTTTAGTAAACCCTTGGCTTCACGTTTCATAAGCATACATACTCTGTGCTGTACTGAAAGCTCATTTTGCTTATTTATACCTCTTTATGCATTTATGAGGCAACAGTCAGCTGGTGAGCTTTACTGTTTAATGACAGAGAATCTGAATTCCCTGTATCTGGCTGAAGAGTCTCCTTAATTTTGCATAGCTGTGGTTAGATTGACATTACTGCTCCATCTGCAGCTTGCTTGGCCAGTGAACAAGAGGGAGTGAATTTGTGCTGCTCACCTACACTGTCACTTTCAGCACAACTCAAGATTGCTCTCACTGGGGATGAGAAAATTTGGGTGCCTTCCCATCTTGAGATGTCAGCTGGGGAAAGATTAGTGTGAAATATTAATCTGCTGAGAGAGATGGTCTGTCTCTCACGTACAGCTCAGTCCTTTGAAACCTGGAAGGCTTGATTCAGCAGAGAAGAAAGACTCAGGGATTTTTCAGAAATGGAATGGTGCACACAGCTGTGCAAGCAATTGAGGTAGCCACTTTCAGAACAGTGTGGAACAATTTTCTGTTTGTCACAACAGAAGCTTTAAAAAAACTTTAGCAATCCTTCCATGTGTATTGTCACTCCTCCACTGAAGCCTCTTCACAACTGCTCCATCACCAGCACCGCCGTGAACATTTGGCCAGCCTATGGAGTTGACCACTCTTGGTATATAACTGCCTCGCTGGATCTAGTGCTTTCCAGATACAATGGACTGCAGGTCCCATAATTCCATGCCATCATGGCCAACTGGAAGGTACCAGGTTGGGAGGTCTGGCAGACTGCATTAAAATATGTGAGATGTGCATTTTATTTTGCATGTAATTAGTGATCATGGAATCTCTGGAGGTATTTTGGTGCTTTCCATTAACTGATCATGGGACCTACATTGAAAGAAAGTTTTGCAAAGATAAATTGTCAGAATTACTTAGAACTCTAGAAAATCCTGCTCTTGGGTAAGTTTGCCATTAATACCTGGGGGTTTTAGACCATTTTTGAGTATGAAATGTTGGCTGTTTTTACAGTTGTACATTATTTTGTACTGAAATGAATTCTTGATGTTTAAGTGATGCCTGCTTTTGGCACCTGTCCATTCACTGTGCTTTGGAATAGGTATTTAACCCATCACAGACAAGTTGCCTGCTAATTAATCTGTTCTCACCGTAGCCTCACTGCTGTCAAACTCTGCAGAGCTTCAGAAGATCTTAAATTGGTCAAAAATGCAATACAGTGTCGGGAGAGGAGGGTCATGTACAAAGACAAGCCGGTTACCCTTCCCTGTGCTCTCACATAAGAAATAGATATGTAATTATGGAAGAAATCAAGCAGAGCCGTTGGGCCCTTAGTGATCTCATTTTTTGCCTTGACTGAGGACAAATTAATGCAGTCTGAAGAGAAACAGTTTGAGTTTTTCTTCTTTAATTTGAGGAGACTCACCATCTTACAGCCTGAAGTGTCTGATCCTGCCTGATCTTGGAAGCTCAGCAGACCCAGCCCTGGTTAGAATCTGTATGGGAGAGTTGAGTCCTGCATTGAGTAGGGGGGTTGGAGCTGATGACCTTCTAAGCCAGGGGTCTCAAACTCGCAGCCCACAGGCCAATTGCCGGGCCGGGTGGGGGAGGGGCCCTGCGGCCTTCAAAGCGCCTCCGGGAGCGACGCGGGATGAGCAGCCCACCACCACCGTGGTGGTGGAATACTTGGTACGGCCCAGCCTCACCCAGACTCTACTTCCAGCGGCCCCCAGGTAAGCTGAGTTTGAGACCTTTGCTCTAGGCCTTTTCCAACCATATGCTTCTATAGCTTGAGAGCCCCACGTGTAGTGCTGTAAGCCATGTACTATCCATGCACTTTGAATAACAGACGTTGGTATCAGTTTTCTCTCTGGATTTCCTCTCATGCTTTCTAGGTATTTCAAGACTAGATGATCAAATATTTCTGAACAGGAACCCTGGCATGCCCTCAGTGGTCAAGTTTCATCCATTCACTCCATGCATAGCTGTGGCTGACAAAGACAGCATCTGGTAAGACACTGATCTTTTAAGGTGACAAGAGTATATTGGAGCTGGTGCATTATTCTTGCTACCAAGGGACAGCCTGATAAGTACAATAGCCTTGTTATGCCTGGATTGGTTAGAGAATGTTTAATTGAATTTTAGTCTTATTACTGCATGTGCAGAAGCTAGAGGTGCGGTGATGAGGCATTCATCAAACAATATTAAATACTCAGGCAGGGGAGAATGCATCTAATAGCACTTTGTATACTGGCTACTTAAATCCAACTTGGTGTATGAATTTCACAATCAAATGTTCTTTGCTTACGTTTTCTCCCTTTCCTAGCTTTTGGGATTGGGAGAAAGGGGAGAAGCTGGACTACTTCCATAATGGAAACCCACGCTACACCAGAATCACTGCCATGGAATACCTGAATGGGCAAGACTGTTCTCTGCTCCTGACTGCTACAGGTAGGTATGGTTGCATTTATGGAAGGAGAACAAGAGAGGCTAAGAAGTACCTTCACCATATCATCCTATTAATAGACCTGGTCTTATCACATTCATTCATGCTTCAGTATGGCAGAGCCTGCTTTGACATATGCCTGCTTCTCTATGTTATATTTTTAATAAAGAGATCCATGTGAGAGAACTTGTATTTGTTTAAATTAGAAATACTAATTTCTTTAGGCTCTTATTCTGCATTGTCTTCAATGCAGGCTTTTGAATAAGCCACAGGGTGCAACACGCTTTGGTACTACATACTAGAACATCACAGACACCCATTTAAGAATAACCCTATGTATGTTTTCACTACCCTTTTCTTCCATCTTTATTTCTCCTCACATGTAGAAAATATTTTGGAGATGGAAGGAAATCATAGCACACCATTCTTCTGACAATGGCTGCAGCTAATTATCACTAATTATAACTAATTATCACTTTTAACTCTTGTATTTTCTCGGGATGTCACAGCTCCAGAGCAATCTTCCACTCATATTAGGACTTCAAACTAGGTCAGCCAGTATATTAAGCTTCTCCAGAAGGTGTTGTTCTTAGAGAACTTCCTTCAGGAATAATGTGGGATGGACCAGTCTCTTCTACTCTTAAAGATAACAAGTGGTGTTCTTTTGTACAGTCATACAGAGCAAATCTTACCTACACAAATGCTTGTTTTGGAGCAAAGGTTTATATATGCACAGAGAGCTGATACTTTTTCTTATAAGCAACAGTGAACTACTGTCATTTAAACTCTAATCCAGAATAAAGATAATGAGGGTAATGGAGACCCAAAGAAGTAATACATCTCCCAAAATGTTTACTTGAAAATTCAAAACCATCTAGGAAGTTGTGTCTGTGTATGTGGCGGTGGGGAGGCTGAATGTATGGACTATGCTCCCCAACAAGTTTCCGTCTATGCCTGTGAATGGATTGTAGGGAGCATTTGGCATTCTGCTTTTTTAATTAACAGAGAAACCCTCAAAAAACTAATGCCTGCTTTCTGTTCGGAAAACTAGTGAAAGAAGTTTGAAGCTGTGTGGAGTGAATAGGACAACAAAACTAGTAATAACAAGGAGTGAATGGCATCGAGTTATGTGGGAGTCTCCCAACATTTTCTTCTCCTCTCAGTCTCCTTCCACATACATGCCAGGGTGGTTATTGTCCTATATTTTTCCTTTCTGTCATTCCTTCAAGATGATGGTGCTATACGGGTGTGGAAAAACTTTGCTGACCTGGAGAAGAATCCAGAGATGGTAACAGCCTGGCAGGGCTTATCAGACATGCTACCAACGACACGTGGTAGGTATAAGTAACACCCTATCGAGACTTGAAGGGGCAAAAATAATACTAATGTGTCGTGCTTTGAAGTAAGGCTGGGGTAACATGGAGTGGTTTTCTCTGCTTGCGCTTTCATTAATATCAGTATTTTGGCCATTATGAGTGACCCTGAGGAGTGATTTCTTCCCCACCATCTTTTCAAATGAATAGTAAACCTGGGCCTAAACAGAGGTGCCAGGTGGGGAATAGACACAATCTTTTTTGTCATGCTGGGAGATTAAGTGCAGCCGCATTCTCCTTCTCGGACTGTTTTGGCGCTCACTGGAGGTCAGATCTAACTTTCTTTTGCTTCTAGTAGAGGATCGTTGTATAAATGTGTGCAGAGCATTGCCCTTCCTTGAACTTGTTCTACCAGCTGGTTATCTCCTCTCGCTTTGGGGTTTACCCCAAAGCTCACCTCTTGCTTCTCTCCTTTTTGTTTGCTTGTTCACCCTCGGCCCAACCTTGCATGCTTTTCATATGACCTTACTCAGCCTGCTTTGACTTTAGCACATCCAGCTCTGCTTGCAGTACTTCCTGCCATTTATTGCAGATGGGACTGGGGTGGACAGATGGAAGAGGAAAATGGGAAATGTCACAGTAAGATTGCTAGTTCAAACAGGTATGAATTGCCTAAGCACACTAAGAATCCAGCAACACTAGATGTTAATGGGAGACCCATCGCTAGGCAAGCCTGGCCGGAGGGTTAAGTGACCAGAAACAAACTCTGCCAAGGAGTATAACAAAAGGTACTTGATCTGTTTCCAAGAAACAACACATCATTGATGTTGTGACAGCTCTCCTTTCAGAGCCTGTGTATGTCAGCACTGGAGCCTGACAGCGTCTTATTTGAAAACTCGCCGCTACTAAACTAGTGTTTTGCTAGCCCTTTAAAATATCTGTGCTAGCTCCGTCAGTAAGTGGTAGTAGTTGATGAGTCAAAATAAAAATCTATGTCTGTTGCGCAGTAAGGATTTTACATTTCAGCAGCACTGCCTCCATATTTTTATTTAATGTTGCTGTCTCCCCTCCCACTGTCCTGCTTTTCTTGTGTAATGTGGCGTCCGGCAATTCATTGGAGTCCAGATGCAATGCCTTGTTCAAATTGGAAATCCCTGACAGGTCTTCTCTTGTTCTGTCCATGAAAATAGCCATTGTCCTTTCAGCTGGACAACTGAAAAACTGAGGTCCCTTTGCTGCAAAGCCAAGCTTGTATAGCACACCACTTCATATACACAGAATTTATCCTAAAGCACTGGACATTGGCATGCGCTACAAACGTACATATGGCTGAAATTCTAAAATTTACAGGGATATAATCAGTAAGAGCAAATAGGAGCTGGCTCAGCTTGCAGTTCCTGAATTCCCTGTGTTACATTTGGAGGATATCAGAGTAACAAGCTCAGATCTTGTTGATCTCTCCAGGTTTGTCTTCACTGGCCCTTTCCCATGTTTTAATATTTAGTTAATGTTCATTTAACGCATCTCTTGCCTAAGGCTTCTACAAAGCACCCACCTGAGAATCGGCATTGCCATTCAATTACTGTACAGTTCAGTTCATTGTATTAATTGTGTTTGCCACTAACCATGATGCCAGATACTGCAAATACAAATACAAGATGGCATAGGATCCTAAAGCAGTTATAAAAACTAAGAAAAAGACATATTTAAGAAATTAAGTAATAAAGTTACCGAATATTAAAAGATTCCACATTTTAAGGCAATATCAGTTTTGTGTGTATTTGCTTTGTCACTATGGTAAGAGTTTGTTTCTTTAGTGAACTTTGGTAGCTTATCACTAAGGAAAAGCCTGACTTAAATCACAAGTATAAAGGATAGAATATCTAAAACTGGCAGTGAGGCTTACAATTTAACCTTCAAATATAATAGGACAGCATTTAATGAAGTAAATTGTGTATTATATTAGCCCCACAAAAATACGCATACCAGAAAGATTGCGTACCAAAAACTTTTCTTTTACAAGTTTAAGGTAGGAAGAAAACCTGTTATATTATGGGCAGCATGAGATGTACTGTCCTCAGTTCTGATCTTAAGTAAATTAGTAGCCAATAAGCCCTGTGTTAAGGATACTGGCTGGGAGTCATTATTTTTAAAAGTTAATTTAAACTGGTTACAATACTGTCGAAATTCCTTCTTATTGTTTGCAATTACTGCAGGAAAAATGGTCCAAAGATGCAGAAAGATTCAGTGACTCAATGCAACAAAATGTACAGAAGCAAGGGTTGCTCTGACCCTCGAGCTTCAGTGCAGAGGCTGAAGCATGCAGTCAAATCTAGTTATATTCTTGGATTACTCTTTGATGTATCTGTTGTTGCTGTCTGCCTCTGCAAAAATCCTGCCCATCTGAGAACCCCATGACAACAACAGACTGCATTGTTCAGGCAGAATAAAAGGAGAAATGTACACAAGTGACAAGAGGTTAAAAGCAAGGCAAACAAAGGAGTCAGACAAAGTAAACCCATCAAACACTGGTTTGCAGGGACATTGCTAAGTCTGAGTAAGGGACAATTGTTTGTCACATGGAAGCCCTGCAACTAAAATAAACTACTATTTGTTATAAGGCAGGAAAGTTCTTGTTATTCCTGATCATCCCTCTCCATAGTATCCGCAAAGAGAGGGCATTCAAAACTGAGATGTGGTATCATTCTCAGCAGATGAATCACAGAGGTCTCTTGCAATTTGGTCATACACAATTTCCATCCCTTGCACCATGGCTTGAATTTCCATCACCAACTTCTTCAGCTTTTGGATGAGGAGGAGAGCTGTACTTCTTTAAAAGAATCATTAAAATTCTCATTCAGTCCTTGGTGTTGCTGTTATCTTTGCATACTGCTGCAGGAACCATAGAATTAGCGATACACAATGAGAAATCCACTCAGTGGAAAGACTCAGAGGGAATTTAAGAAGTCCTCCTCAGAAATGCGATTCTAGGGAGAGGTTATAGCTTTAGCTGTGCAGACTGCAGGGTTCAGTACAGGATTATAATATGCTGCTTTGAGGCCATAATGCTCCTGGCCTCAGTTTTCTGCTTTCTGCTTCCCTCCTTACATGGCCAATAGAGCTATATCTGCATTTCAGCAGCCTCTGCTGTTGATTGTTTTTGCTCCCTCTTCCTCCTGCACTTCCTAATCCTTTGTTGGTGATGTAATCATCTTGATAAAAAAAAAATAGGTCACTGACCTCACAAGGGGATTGAACGAACAGCAAGAGCAGATGACACTCTTAAAAGGGTGGACATGACTTTCCTCATTTATGAAGAACAGACTGGAATAGATTAAGAGGGCTGGAAGGAAAGAAATCTTATAACAGTGTGTAATTCTTCTGCTCTAGCAAAACATTCATGGGGGCCTGTATGAAGGGAGCCCAAAGGCTTCAGCTCTGTACTGATGGTGTGTCCCAATAATTAACAGCCTTTTCCCACACCCCTTAATTTTAGGTATGTTGTCACCTTTATTTAATAAATAAAGTCATTCTTCAGTTAGAAAGGAGAAGTCCAAGAAAGATAGGAATAAATTTCATGTTACTCAGACGTGTTCATCTGTGTGAAAATTAGAACTGCAGTTCACCTCTATAAGCAGTAAAGAATTACAGAAAAGTGCAGGGGCAATATGCATTAATGGGTTAATTATAGGTCAGTGCTGAATTGCTATTGATGACCACCTAATTTGTGTTGCCTGTAAGGAAAATTTCCACACATCAATATAGGCACCATTAGAAATGGTGTGAGTACAGTTTATTTTGTGCAGGGGCAAACACTTGCTGAGATCAGTATCAGAATATTGTCAGTGGCTGCCATTATGGCTACAGTGTGTTGGCCAAGCTCGTCTGTCCTTATGTACACTCTTGGCTTCTATCCTGCTGCCTTAGTCTAGTTCTCTTATCATGATTGATGACAAGGACAAAGCATGCCCCTGGTTTACCATTGTTATTATGATGTTACATCCCTACCTTACTTTTCTATTCTTCTTGTGAGGAAGCCAAGACAGCTTATGCAGAGAAGATGACTGATCTAAGAGCATACAGTGAAGTCTGTGACTGAGCAGGGATTTGAACCCAGCACTCTAACCTCTCCTGGTACCTGACAGACCAGAGGCAACTTTTAATGGGCAATCCTAATCCAATAAACACACCTTTAGTTATAATTTGGCAGTGTTTTCTTTTTTAAAGGTATAGGGTCAAACATACAAGCTGTGCAAGCCTTTTGCAAGTTTGTGCTCTAGTAGGTTGCAGTCTAAGCAAGTCCTGAGAGGATGTTAGTCCCACAGGACTGTGTTTCATGCTTTCAGTCATTATTTTAGAAAGCTACAATTGGTGTGAATGGCATGTGAGAGCTCACAGGGCTGACCTGGGCTGATCCTTTTACAAAGAGGATGCTTAATACAAATAGTTCAGCAGTAAGCATAATGCAGACTCCTGTTTAGGTTTCTAAACTGATAGGAGCAGGACATGGCAGGTCTTACCAGTAACAAGACTACAGCTTGTGTAATACTTATTGGATCCGGGAAAGGCAGGAGAAGCAAGAACCTAACGAATATATTTTTCTAGTCCAGATCAACTGTCCATCTAGCTAAATGCCATGGAGGTCTTTGATAAGACCTAGCTGCTATCAGATCATAGTACAGAGCAAGTCATGTATTTTCAAGGCAAAAATAGCTGACCAACTCCACTTGGGGAACTTTGTGTGTACTGCTCCTGTCCATCACTTCTGCTCTAGGTTCTACCAGTTGAATGTAGGGGAATCAGAACATCTGGAAGTGCCTTTAAAAGTTCTGCCCTGGATACAGCAAGCGGGTTCTCTTCCTGGAGCTCTGCAGGACAGCCATTCCACATGTACCTAAAGTGCCATTTCCTTCCAACTGTGCTGCAGCTATCTCCCTGCAGCTTCTCTCATTATCCAGTTTTCTTTTTGATGACTTCAAATGAATTCCCCTGTACAACTAATTTCCCCCACTTAAGCAGTTGTTTGAACAGAGCCTTTGTAAATTGTCCTCCCTCTTGGAATTGAGTGCTCATTAGCAAATCATTGGAGTGTGCTGTGCTGAAACCCATTATATTGCACAGCAACTGAGCTGCTAGTTCAGAATGGGAGGCCTAAACAACACTTGCTTGCTGTTTTGTGTTTGTCTTCTTCCATGCAGGTGTGTTATGCAAAGGGTCAATTAGAGCAGTGTTTGTTTTTTACTTCCCCTTGACAATGGGATGACTTTTGTTCTAGGTCCAGGAGACAGGCAATTCTTAGCCAAAAAAAAAGCCATCAGGATTTGGGGGCATGAGCAAAAGAGACCAAATCTTGTTTTTCTCTCCATGGTTAATGGCTTTGTAGGATGGCTGCTGTGATCAAGCTATGCGTCTCCCTTCCTTTCCCAAATGGAGGCCTCTGCTGCTACTGCTTCTCTCTAACTCTTTTCTGTTCCTTTTGGGTTGCTTTCTTCTAATCCTTTTAAAGATTTGTTTTGCTTTGGCTGACCAACTTACCCTTAGCATCAACCCCTTAATCCCTGTCTTCTCACAGGTCTGGCCCGAAGGGTTTCAATCTATCTTGACAGAAGTAAACAGGGAGGTGAGTGTTCTCTTTCCTCTTACCTATGATCAGCATGGGAGGGATGGTCCTTCTAATCTCATTTGCCAGTTTTTAAAATTTTTTTGGTATTCCTTCTAACATGCCTGGGTCCAATTAGTTTTTGAAAAGGTGGCCTAGCTTCTCCTGCCCTCCCCGTTCCTTGCTTTGTATTGTCTGTCTGTATGGTGTGGACTTTTAAGTCATGGGTGTCTGATACCATCCTGTCAATACGGGCTGCAGTGTCCAGCGAAAAAATGGAAGGAGGAGATTCTGGATTTGTCTTGCTTTGCTTGCATTCACAAACTGTGGAAATGGAAATGTATTTTCAAGAAAGTCAGATAACTTTATTGCATGAACACATTAAACAAGGATTGTAGCAGGCAATGAAACACCAGATCAGCATACAACTCCATCCCTTCCTACTTATACAGGTGAAGAGGAATTTCAGGATGTCTGGGGGGTCACTTTAATGGGTTTCTGGTAGTTGCTGTGTTTGCTTGATTTGTGATGATGATACACTCAATGACAATCAATGGTAGGCATGACCTTCCTTTTATTACCTGCAAAGTGGGCTGCCTCTTTTGGCTACCATGTCTGGGAAACTATCCGAATCTCGTTTTAAACCTGTGGTGAAGTATATTTTGAGCTCTTCAGACTCAGTCTGCAGAACCTGTGGTGGGGTGGGACTTGAAATGCTTCCATTTTTGAGAGAGGGACAGATGGCTGGCACAACAGGACATTGTGTGTGTGGTCTGTATCAGAAAGCTGATGTCATCTTCTTAGGCGCTTTATGAATTCTTAATGCTCAGTAGTTGATAAGGGCTGGAATATGTCTGTAGCAATTACCAGGACAAATGTAGCTGTGTGTTTCTCTTAAGTGTGGGTCTTTATACTTTCTCTGATGATTAGGATGGGATGTACAAAATTAATTCGTTATTCTTAGCATCCTGGCTCACCATATTGTAGGAACTAGCTGGCAAACTGACAAGGCTAAAATTAGCAAGAAGGGAGTTGCAGGGGCTTCCCATTTGATACACTGAGCATCAGACCAGCTTAATGCAACCACCGTGGAGAATCAATATTCATAATGCTTAGGCAGCAACAGTCTGTCAAGAGCTCACAGATAGTGTCTATTCAGCACTAGCTTTGCACACCTGTTGAACTCTTTGGGGACAGAGATCTGGAGCATTCCAATCACAAAGGGATATTCACCGAGTGATGTCGCATTATAGCAAAATATGGATGAGTGGGTACACAGTGATATTTTTCACTGCATGTCTATAATTGCAAAGCCATAACCATTCCCTGGTAAATATGTCTAGACAGATATCAAAGGTAATAAAATATCAGAAATGGTCTGTTCTCTTAAAGTCCAGGTTGTGCACGTGGCAATTTAAATGTACCTGCCATAGTACCATGATACTTGGTCCAACTCACTTCTCAAATGATGGGCAATAACTACTGCAATTCAGTGAGAACTGACTGTGTGGATGTGCACTTTTTATTGCCAGATTGCCATGTCCTAGTGTGTTGTAATGCTTAAAATGTTGGACTAGGGAGCCAGGAGATCTGGATTCTAGCCCCACTAAGCCATGAAGTCCACTGGGTGATTAGGGCCAGTCACTCACGCTCAAAGTAATTTCATCGCAGGGTAGAGGAGGAATATGCAAGCTGCCAGGAGGAGGAAGAAGGCAAGATATAAATGTGGTGTATTAATACTCCAGTGGGGATGCCCATGAGCCTCTAAACTCAGAAGATTACCGTCATCCAGTGGAGAATGGGAGAAGTGTGGAGGCCATCACCTCCCTGTTCCTCTTGCGCTGCTACCTGACTGACTTCAGCCCAAGCCTGATCTGACCAGATGGGCTAGTTCCTTACTTTGAACAATCTGGCAGTGTTCAAAGTACGAAATACTTAAAATTCAGCTCATAATAAAGCATGCCTGTAATTCAGAGATGACCCAGACAAAGCCCAAGGGTTGGGTTAGGAGACCTGGGGCTAAGTTAGGAGACAGGATGTTCTCAAAAGATATCTTCTGCATTGCTTGGGTCAAGGTTAAAGGAGGCTGAGGGAATTAGAGCAGAGAAAAGGAATACTACAGAGTGGGGAATTAGGTATGCCTGATTTTCTTTTGCAGGGTACATGGTATAAAATGATAAACATTTTGAACTTCAAATTTAAATGGGGATTATTAAATCTGCATCCAGAAAAAAGCCTAGGGAATCTGCTTGTGAGTCAGGGAAAATTAATCTGGGTGGAGGAGGGCTTTCATCATGAAATAGTTATTTGGCATAGTAACCAGTACTGCAATGCAATAATTACCTGCCCTGATACTGAATATCTGAAAGGAATCTAATAAGGAGACCATGATTTAGAGAAACATACAGGATGGGTGGTGAATCCCAGGATCACAATTCCTTGTAAGATATGCCTTTGTAGTTGAAGACAGAGAGCAATACCATGAGAGAGGTCAGGTCCTTTATGAAAATAAAATAATTAGGGGAGCTACAGCTCTATTTTAAGCCCCCCCCCCCAGTTTTGTAAATTCACTTCCCCTGTGTTCTAGTTATTGTTAGATGTCACTATGGGTAATGCTTGGCACAGAAGGAATATCACTTGGAGGGGCATTCTTAGGAATTAATGAAGGATGAGGTAATGCAGCTTTCCCACTGCTGTTTGGAAATTAAAGTAGGGATATGCCTCATTCATCAGCCAGGAGGATGTGTGTATAAAAAACCAACTGCATCTCTGCGATGCTGTTCGAGTATGGCCTGTGCACACATTTCTGAACTAATCAAAATGCCAGTTAGACACTGGCTGCATTCCAGCAATAAATTTTAGCGGGGGAAACTAAATGGTATGTATTTGAATGCAGCCATTTGTGATGCCAAAATTCTGGATTGAAAAGTATGCAGGGAACTGCTGCACTGAGATGTATCCCTGCCTTCGGGGGAATCCTTCAAGGAACAGTCACTTCCTCTTGTTGATACGCATTGCCTGCATATCACTCTACTTCATGCAGAAGTGCTAGTCCTTGTGTGGAAAAGCTCCAGTGAATGATTTTTTATGTTAGCTTTCTGCAGTGGGTCTTTTACACTTGACTTGATGGTGTTTTAGTGAAGAACGGAAAGGACAGGGCTGCTATGATGCTGTGAGAATACTATTGCCGTGAAAATACTATGATGCTGTGAGAACCTTTCCCCTTTACGACCAAAGGCAGTAGTAGACTCCATGAACAAATGTTCTCATAGTCACATGGTCACTGAGCAGCACCTTGTATTCTGAAATCAACACAAAGAAGCCTTGCTTGCTTTCCATGCATTGGGAATCCTTGGATCTTTTGAGCAGGCAACAGAAACTCACAGGGAACTTCCTAGCCCCAGCAGCTGAGACTGCAACCCTGCATCAGTTTCCCTTGCACCAGGCAGTGCACTCTCAAAAGCTAGGAATTTTAGGGAAGTCTTGTGCCTGTAGTGCCAGGGATGTCTCACATCCCTGAAAGATGACCAAAGCATAAGGCAGGTAACGCAACATGCACTGACTGGCACGAGCACGTGTAGCAAGCAGGCACAACATGCAGGTAGAAACCACCGATGAGGAATACTGTGCTCAAGCTGTCCAGTTGACTCAGAGTTGAGCAATTTTACTTGTGCTAAAAAGGAAGAGAAATGAAACCGAAAGACAGTAGTGCTAGCCAGCTGGGGCACTGAGTGCAATTCAGTACCATTCGCAAACGCGGTGGCCGTGCCTGACTCACCAAGAGAAAATTCATTCGTTGTGCCTAAGCATTCTATGTTTGTCTTTGTCCCTGTTCTACCATTGTGCTTTTCAATAGTTTATTTTGTTTATTCCTTTACTTCAGTATTCTGTCTTTTCCAAATGGAAGCTTAATGCCAATTAATCACCATCATAAAAATGTAACATATACCACTTAAGCTCAGGGTGACTCCTTTGTGATGTATGTATGTCGAGGATTATTACCCTGCTTTTTCAATCTTTAATATCCAAGGTGTTTTACAGTATCATAATAAAAGCAAAAACTATAATTAACAATAAAATATTGTTAAGAGAAGATTATGCTAACAGATGGCTTTTATACAAATTAAATAACTATCAAGCCAGCAGCAATTAAACGTTATACCCACAGCAGAACCAAACACCAAATAAAGGCAAAACAACAACATTGTAGTGGGTGCCTGAAGACAATCACATTTGGCAGTCAAGGGGTGGGAGGGCATTTTCCAAGTGAGGCGGCGCTGCTGCTGCTGCTGCTGCGAAGAATGCCTGGCCTCTAGAAGCCCTGCCATCAGCTCACCTCCAGAGCTGCAGAGCAGATGCTCAGAACTGGACTCCTAGTGAAGGTTTTAACAGTGAGAAGGTCTGCATGATTCTAAATATTTTCCCAATGATACATGAGTGCAATACAATGTTAGTGACATGACCTTCTGCTTTCTCATCATGGATGACTTTGTTGGAAAAGCTTGGCTAGGGTAGGCTCCTCTTTGCCTCCACTTGCTGCTTTAAAATCAAGGAAGTTTAAAAAGCAGAACATCTGCAACATGGCATAGCTGAGGTGTAGACAGAGATGGGATGTGGGTGGCGCAGTGGTTTAAACCGCTGTGCTGCTGGGCTGGTTGACCAAAAGATCACCGGTTCGAATCTGCACAACGGGGTGAATTCCCGTTGCTCCGCCCAGCTCCTGCCCACCTTGCAGTTCAAAAGCATGCAAGTGCAAGTAAATAAAAAGGTGCCACTTCGGTGGGAAGGTAACAGCGTTCCGTGCACTTCGGTGTTTAGTCATGCCGGCCATACGACCACGGAGACTGTCTGCGGACAAACGCTGGCTCCCTTGGCAAGGAAATGGAGATGAGCACTGCCCCCAAGAGTCAGGTATGACTGGACTTCACATCAAGGAGAAACCTTTACCTTTACCTTTTAGACAGAGATAGTCCTGCTGGTACTTTGCTTCTTTCAGAAAAGTGCGTCTCAGTTCATGTATT